GGAAGAGTAGAGAAGCAGCTCTTCCTGTTCCTAAGACTTTGGACCACAAATAATCAGATAAAGAAGATGGAAAATTCTTGGTTTGAAATTAATTGGTTTGTGCGAATTCTGTCTTTTTGCCCATTTACTTGCCTTTCATGTAGAAGCAAGGTGTACCTGATGAGATGCTCCTAGTATGGCAGCAGTTCTCATGGTGTACTGAGTTCTTGTGCTCTGACAAATGGGTGTTTTGCCTTGGTGCAAGGCAGTGGATCCCATTCTGACCTCATGCACATGGCAGAGCATTCAGGAAGGCCCTGGGATCCTTGCCACGAGCTGACCGACCAGTGGTCTCTTGGCTCAGAGGCAGGCAGTAGCTGCACTGTATTCCTGCAGCTACTGTAATGATTTGCCTTTAAAAGTGTGCTTTATGATCCAAGAAAATATCCAACATGGTTCTTTACCTGGGGACCAGAGTGTACCTTTCAGGCAGCTCAATGAACACACAAAGCTAGAGCATAAAAATAATGAATTGGCAGGATTTTGCCCTTTTATGTAATGTGTCAATCCACAATTTCTGGCACAGGGAGGACAATTGTGGCATTAAACCCCATTCTGTATTGAAGAATACTTTCTTCCCCTTCACAGTAAAAGAAGCCATGTTTGTGCCAAGAGTTAAGGTTAAAGAGAGATGTGGTAATTCCTGGGCCTTTGACATGGAAATAAATTTTTCTCTAAAGGTAAAAGCACAAGCCTTGCAGAGATAGCAATAACATCCAGCATGCATTCTGCTGCACTGAAGTCAGCGGGGACTTTTAGGCTTTAGAAAATGCATAAAGTTATGAGAGCGCTTTTATTTATTTATTTATTATTTTAGCTCTGTTGGCAAACTTACAGCTAAGAAGAAGAGTTTTAAAGAGTCAGTAAAATGCATCTGTCTCAGCAAAGCATGACTGTCAGACTTTGCAAATGTAATTATTCTGAAAGATATGAGGACTCATTTAAGCAGTCAGAATAGGAGTACATTACAGCATGAATGTTATTGGAAGTGAGGCTTAATTGACTGTTCTTTAAGCTACTTCTCTATGAATGTGAGGCAGTAATTTATTATTTATGACAACACTGTATCAATAACTTTTAAGATTTGAAGTCTGGGGACAGATCCACAGCTGCTCTAGGACACTGGGGTAAGGGGCTAAGGCACCTTACATCATTGAGTATCTAGCCTGATAACTTCCTGATTTAGGGAGGGTAAAGGCATACAACACATAGGCTACTTGCATGCGATGAGATGAAGAGCATGATCTGTAGATGGTTTTCCTTCTGAGAAACTCCCTGAGGCATATGTGAGAAATCTTTTCCGTATCTTATGGACTGCCACAGCCCCCCAGGGTTAGAAGAGGGGGCAGGACTGTGGTCCAGATCACCTCTCTGAGCTAGGACTGGCCACTTGCACCAACCAAGCAAGCTACAGTATTGCAAGGAGAGCGGTTGCATTGCCAGAGCCCTTGTAAAGCTGCCATTCTCTCAGACCATCTCCTGAATGGAAGATGGCTTGTGAAGGGAGTTCATGAACTAAAGGATCCCTTCACATACAGTCTCTATAGCTGTGGGATAGCTGATGTCTTTTGACTCCTTATGCTCCCTGCCTTTATCCTGCCCTGCTTCTACCGCTTCCTAAGAAGGCAAAGTTGCATGAATTCTTTAGCACTGCTTTGTCATGCCGAATAGGGAAACTTGACAAACAAAATCTTTGTGGGTTTGTTAAAAACAAACCTCTCAGAAGTATTAGAATTTAATTATGTTAATATTAAACATGATTGTGGCACATGAATTATGTTTTCTACATTTATATGGAGAGTTGTGCTGTGCTCTCCAGACATCTGTACCATATAGAGGCAGGTGGTAGAGTGCAGCATTGCCAAGCACCAGATCGGCACCATTTTCCCATTCAATATATGGCTGCTCTTTCTCTCCAATTGCAGATGCTCATTCAGCTTAGTAAAATGGAGTCCTTATTTGAGGGATTCTGCGCTGAACAGCAAACGCATCTATCTTTATAATCTTGTTTGTTTCCATAATTGGAAACTGAATCAACAGCGTATTGAAGATGACACATTTGCTCATTCCCTTTCTTCTCCCTATGGTGGCATAAAGCAATGAAGCACAATAATTAATGAAAAAGACTGTTTATTGTTCAGGCAATGTATCTGAAGTGGAAAAAACCAGAGCATGGGTTAAAAATATGTTGCTGCAGACCATCAGTGCCATCACAAAATGTATGATCAGTTCTAGGGGGAGAGTGCCATCGTTCCCACCCACCTGGGTGGGCAGGGTGCTCTAAAACTATCAAAGACAGTTGAACTCAGATTTCTCATGTAAAACTGAGGAAAACATGGAATGCATGAAAAAAACCTGACTTATGTATCCTGGTAGGGCATTTTTAATGTTCTGTCCATTATAGTGACTTTTTTAGCTTCATTTACATGGCCGCTGTGTCCTGTGGCTGGGTGAAAATGATACGTTTGTTTAGTAGACTTATCTTTTCTTCTGGGAGAGTCTGCCCAATAGGTTTTGTAAGACAAAGGGTACACATAATGCTCTGCTTAGCACTCTGCCTTCAAAAAGCAAAGCTAATCTGTTTTAAGTAACAAAGGCCAGAAAATGCCTGATTGCAGAATATTGTTTTGTCTCCTGTGGACATGCTACAGAGTAAGTCACTGCTTGTGGGCCAGTACTGAAGATTAGGTAAAAGGCAGCACTTCTCTCTACCTCCTGAGGCTGGTATTGAAGTCCAAAGAAGGATTCTTCTGTACTGACTGACCATGGGTAAGCCTCCGAGGTTCCCGAGACTCTCTCAGGCCATTGACTTCATTTGCAGAAAGCTACAGTGTAACCAGAAAATTAACGTGTGTACTGCCTAGTAAATGTCATAGCTATAATGTACAGCTGACATCATACTGGTGGCAAGCCAAGATTTGGGTTCCGTTCCATTTACACCTATTTCCATACTACACCTAGCTATGAAAAGGATTTTGTGTTTACTCAAGCTTATAAAATCAGTCCACATTAGGAAAGGTGTATGACAGGAGTAATAGCCCACTTGCTAAAAATGAAGGTGATTGAGAGAACAATGACTCTATCAGAGGTACTGAATTTCAAGTCCTTGATTACAGCCTGCTTTCCTTTTCTGTATTTTATACTCAGTGGTGATGCTACATTGTTGTGGCAAATAAAGCTTCCTAGTATTGCAAAGCTAGGAACAGCCACTTATACCAAGAACAAAGCTTTGATCTTCATGTTTTGATATTCGCCCTCCACAGTGTTACATTTTGGGAATAGAGAACTGTTTTGCACTATTTTTAGGTAAGCACAATTTCAGTGATGTAAATATCTTATTTTGAATTTAAAGTGCTGTTTAGTGGTTGGTTTGATAGTTTTGTGCTTGCTGCAAATCTGTGTGTGTTAGGGGATGAACAATAAGAACGTGTGTCTTTGCGCAAGCCTGATAGAAAACCTGAATATCATTTCTTGACTTTATAAAGGAAAAAAAGTGTATTGATCAATTCGCAGCAAATATAATACAAAGTAGAATAGTGCTCTGTGTTTAAATGCCTCATGTTGTTTATTCAAGGCGATGCAGTCATAGATAAACAATTTGAATAGATAGTGTCAATATAATGTGCAAAATTCTAGGAATATATTCAGTCCATTCCTAAAATATAGCTGCAGTTTAAGTACTGTGATGGACATGGTCATCACATTATTTCTTTTTAATTCTTGTTCTTAATGAAAAACTGTAAGTATCAGCACTTTTCTTTGATATTTTCTCACTTCTATGCAGAGAGTTTATTTACACAAAGGTATGTATAGCATACACAGTCCTGCAATGTTAGTGGAACCAGCTACAAGTGTGTCACGCCTGGTGGCTATCTGAGAGTCTTTACAAAGAGGGGTGAATTTAAGGAGTCTCTGTACTTGGCCATCTTGGTCCTTTCCTCCATATTCTCAAGAGAAGTAGGTTTACCGAGGTCATATGGGTTGTAACAGTCCTTAGGTTAGCGGACCGCTTGCGAAACAGCTCTGTTCCTCTTTGTCACCCTAAGAGAGGACAGATCCATCTCCTTTCCAAGGATGAACATTTAATGTGGCTAATAAAGTGTGCTTGCTTCTAATTTTCTGTTGCATTAACCATTCTAGTGTGCATGGTGTCCAGCTCTGTTTGAGGCGACTGGTTCCCAGAGTGGTTGGCTTGTGTTGAGAACCTGGGCTCAATGGAGAAATGTCCCCCTGGCGTGTACATAGGAGCAGATTGCACCGCTAATGCCAGCAAAACAATAGAAGAGAAAGCCTCAATGGTTATGTTTAAAAGAAAAACCCTGTTATAAATGGCAGAAATCATACTTCCTCTCACGCTGCTGACTACTGGGTGCTGCTCCTTCCTCTGCTAGGCACTGGTGCCATGCCTTGCCTGATGCAGCCTACCCCCAGCTCAGTGTCCCAGGGTGCTAGGTACTGGCCAAATGCAGAAGAAAAGAACTGTTGTTCTCTAGAGTTTAAAGTCTAAATAGACTGAAAAGAAAAATAAGTGTGGTGATCCCATTTCGCAGAAGGGCGATTGATTATGGAGAAGTTAAGTGGCTCGCTCAAGCTTTCAGGGCTGGGCAGTATTGAGCTTTTAATGCAGATTTGATGATACCCCGTTTAGCACGGTAACCACAGGAGCATTATTCTGCATCACAGCAAAGACATTTCTGGATTTGTGGAGAGATTTGGCAGAAAGGGAACTTAATAACACCAAGGGAATTCTAAGTGGTACCGTAACGTAAATAGAACATAGCAATGCTAATAAAGAATAGTAGTGAACAGTGCATTCTGTTAATAATAATAATAGAAAACAGCGTATTTCAGCTCTGCCTATTGAATTTTCTCATGCAATGGTCTTTAAGCCAGAGATATGGTAGCTGTTGATTTAACAGTTACCGTGTTTTAATTAGGAATTATTCTCCTCCAGTACTTTCACTGGTCTTTGTTCTGATGAGAAAAGAGCAGAAGTTGTGGAACTTTTTAGTAGAGATAGAAAAGTGTTGTCGAAGTTTAGAAAGAAAACTGGGAAAAGGAGAAATAACTTGTTTTATTCTTACTTTTTTTTTCTTGAAATATTGGTAAAGAAAGTTCATGGATGATACTTGGGCATATTTTTCTGGAAATATAAGATAGATATCTTATTGCTACAGAAACATAATATGCACTTATGTAGCTATGGTACTTTATGATTGAGTGCTTCATTTTGTGGCATGTTAATGTTAAACAGTGGCAAGATTCTGATGTCAACCATGTAGGCTAAGTAGTTATGCCTAGGATTTTTTATTACTATATAATTTATGGTCCTTCTACTTCTTGTTTGCTTCCTTTTAGACTTGACTATTTGAGGATTCTTAGTAGGTAAATCAAAATGGACTATTTCTATGTGTAAAGACTCCTATTTTTCTGGAGGAACAGGCTTTTACATCTTGTTGAGCTGATACTTCTTGTTAACATACAATTCTTTCCTTTCCACAGAAGAACTCAAGGAGAAACTAAAAAAGTATGTTGATGAAGTGAATGCCCATAAGCCTGGTTTCATCAAGATTGTTCGACACAGCAAACAAGAGGGGCTGATTCGATCTCGAGTTAGTGGATGGAGAGTAGCCACAGCACCAGTAGTTGCTCTCTTTGATGCCCATGTGGAATTTAATGTGGGATGGTATGTGTCTCCTTGAATTTATCTGACTAAGGCACTTTTTCCAAGCACTGTTTATAAATTACTGAATGGCGTTTCTCTTGCCTACAGAGGGTGAGTTAGCATTCTGATCTTTTTAATGAAGATTCAGACAGGATCATGGACAGAAGCATGAAAAATGTATTTGTGCTGTGCAACATAATCTAGATCCATTTTTATAGCGTGAGTTATTTGCTGGTCTAATTAAAATGTATTTAAAACTACATTGGAAAATTGCATGTAAAAAACCTCTTCTGATAATGTAGCCCTTTGCCCATGGGGCAAATTTGTCTTCTTTTAATTAAAAATACTACATTTCTTTTATGTTTTATGGTGTAAACAAAGAAGTGTCATTTTGGCACTGAGGTTGCCGATCTGTGCAAAAGTAGCACGTAACTAAAACCATGTATTTTAACTTGTTCAGTCTGGATTTAATATCTCTGTTGCTTCTTGAGTAAAAAAGATGGTAAAAACGAAGGAGCTTCTGGCCCTAGGATAGATCTATTATTAACTCTGATCCTGATGTCCTTGATAATATTAAGAGCCTGAAGTTATCGTTATTTGGTAGCAAGGGTGTAAATGCTCTTTGATATGCAGATACTCATTTCTTCCATTCACCAGCTAACATCAAGGTTAATAAAAGGGCATCCTAGATAAATATTGTGGTGGGTTATTTTGGGGGAGATCCTGCTCTGTCAAAGCTCCATCTCAAAGCAAAGGGAGCTCTGAAGTAGACTTGTCCCTTCTGAAACATACAGCATAAGCTGCTATTTATGGGGGGGGGGTTGGACTAGACGACCTTAAAATGTCCCTTCCAACCCAAATGTTCTATGATTTCTATCAGTGCTATGCTTCTGCATTATTTTTTTTTCTTTTTTTTTTTTTTAAGGGCTGAACCAGTGCTTACTAGGATAAAAGAAAACAGAAAAAGAGTAATTTCTCCATCATTTGATAACATTAAGTATGATAATTTTGAAATAGAGGAGTATCCTCTCTCAGCACAGGGGTTTGACTGGGAGCTGTGGTGCCGATATCTGAATCCTCCTAAGTCATGGTGGAAACTGGAGAACACGACTGCTCCAATAAGGTAACATGCAACTGTGACCTAGATTACTGTGTCACTGGCAATGCTTATCTTGATATGACAGATGGTGAGTGGTCTCAGCGATGTAGTAGGTTTTACTGACCGTAATGTTACATTAGTTAAACGTCCCTGAGCTGCCCTCTTTTGTCCTTGACCCGTACACAGTCATCAAGAAAACTGTTTGGTTTAGTATATCTTTTTAAATAGGTTTCCTTGTTGTTAGCATGGGGTAAAACACATAGCCAAAGTGAAATGGTAGACTTGAATGCTGAGCAGTACTGCTTTCTCCAAATGTCTTGTCTGCTAATTTACTGGTAATGGGACAGAAACAGAATTTTCTTTACAAATGCATTATCTAAATAGAACTGATCTGACAGTTGTGTTCTTTATAATACTGTTACATAGCTTCACATCTGTATTATGTCCTAGGAGTTAATGCTGATCTACTGATAGTGTGTGAGCAAAGGCTGTATTAGATCCTTGCTTTGGTACAATCTAGCTCTGTACTTTCTTATCACGTCTAGAGCATTGTTAGGCTGGTACAGAACAATGCCCTCATCTTCAGGAGGGGAGTAGGTGCCTCTGAATCCCTTCAGCAGCTCTGCTGAGATTCCAGGCATTTCTTTTAGCAATGCATTCATATCAAGGAGGTCACTGGTACCTGTATTCTAGCTCTCTGCAGAAAGAGTGAAGGCTGTTGTCAGCAGCTGCAAAGCACAACCTTAAATAGCAGCGGCAGTGCAAGGGGGGTCATCACTAGCAATGAGTTTCTATGCGGTCAGTGTAAGGGGTATCTTTCATCCAGTAGTTCTGCCTTTTCAGGCAGATGGCTTTTTTTGTGAGGTTGTCAGCTTAAACACTCTGAACAGCAGACCCACATGCTGGTCGTTAGAAGAGGACCTAGAATTGGAAAGTTAGGAGGTAAAAATTCATAGGTTTGCCACAGACGTACATAAAAAGAGGTGGTAATTTCCACATTATTAGAAATGGTTATTGGTGTTAATGAACTGTGTTAACATTATGAAAATGCTTTGAAATTGTCTACTAAGTTCTGGAGAAGGCAAACCTTCTATATTAATTATGGTGACTTTTAAAATTAAAAGTATTTAAACTTGGAATAAAGAGCAAATCTACTTTTCCATTTTACCCAAAAATGCTGTTCTATGTGAGGACTGTAGAGTGAATGTCCTTTATGAATACTGGGTGTTTAGGTTTGTTCCCTAGCCCTTTCCCTGGCACCTTTTATTCAGTGCAATACACTTCCTGTGTGTGCTGGATAATTAAAACAAACAAAAAAACCCCACATGTATTGATTGATGTCTTCTCTCATGCCTCCAAAATGCTTCCAGAATTATAACAAAGGGATGTACTCTGACCAATACTTTAAAAACAACACCAAAAGAAAGAGCGTTTTGTCATAGAAGAAGCATCATTTTTGAAGTGTCGTTAACTGCTATTTTCTTCGTTAATAAATGCATCAGAAACAGTCTTTCATTATTGTAAAGGGGTACTATAGCACTTCAAGTTAAAGGCAAAAATGCATAGAATTCTGTAGAACTGTACAATTTGTGATTAAGACATCCTAGAATCTGTTTGAAAGCAGATGTCTACACTTACTGCAGCTTGAATGTTCCCAGTAAATGCAGGATGATTCCCCCTGTACTAATATCCATTTTTACCAGAGTTCCTGACACCAGCATAATAATCAGAAAATACGTTTTTATTTCCTGCCTTTGTGGACTGTAAGGTAGGAGAAACATGAAAAAGCTAAATTACTCTGTGTTCTTCTCCACTGCCTCTCATAAAGGTAAAGTTGTACCCTCCGTGTCTGATCTCTTACCTTCTTAAGATTGGCTCAGCATAGTAAGAGTTGGTTAATTCAGGTCATGACGTAAATAGAGCTTACTGATTCGGTAAAGATATGTCACTTGTTTAAATTTGGTTCAGGACAACGGACTAAGGTTACAGTATGCTGGTAAGGGCAGACATTTCTTGATACTGTATTACAAAACCTTATCTGGACATTCCTATTCAAGAAATAATCTCTTCTTTTACATAAGCTTACAGATACAAGTTTTCTTAGCTGTAGATGAACTTGCTTCTGACTAAACACACAAAAGTGTGCATCATTGGGTACCCTTGTTAATTATCACTGACAAGAAACCTGAGGACTTAGCAGGGACAGACACTAAAATGGCTGGTGCCTCAGAAACAAAGTTGGGGCTCCTGAATCTGGTATTGTTAGCAGTGAAATCCTGCCTGTTCTGGTGAATATGTATGTCCAAAACTTTTGAGTCTGTTTTCCTTGAATGGTGCTTATTTCACCATAGAATCAAGAACGTTAGAAGACAAAGCTGAATAAGTCTGTTTGAGAAACACCTCCCTAAGAATCTGTCTTGAGGGACCATTTGACCCAGCAATTATAAATACAAGCTATTTCTGAATATAAAATTCTTCATATTTTATATGCTAATTTTGTTTGTTGCTGGTTTATTCTTTCAGAAGTCCTGCATTGATTGGATGCTTCATAGTAGATAGAGAATATTTCCAAGAGATTGGCTTACTGGATGAAGGCATGGAAGTATACGGAGGAGAGAATGTGGAGCTTGGAATCAGGGTAAGGAACATAATCAACCAACACTGGTGGCTTACATTTAAAATGTGGCTTGCTTCTTATTGCGGGGGAAAGAGACAGTCAAAAACGTATGGACGATGGCACGCAAAGGAGATCCACAGCTCTGCAATAGTGTAAATGGTTGCATTTGAGGAGAGAGGGGAAATAAAAAGAGCAAAAGCTCCTGTCTTTTTGAAGAACTTAATCTGGGACAAGGATAGAAATATAGAATTTGGTATTATTCTTTTGTTCAAGCAACAACGCTAGAGTTCTACAGGGGTGATACCCAAAACTCCCTGCTTACCTGTGATCCCAGACTCAGTAAGGAGGATAGTTTTTCACAGGCGTAATGGGAAAAGCCTTTCTAGAAAGCTTGATTTATTTAAATTAGGAAAATCACTATGGAGCAAACTGGAATATATAGGCATTTATGCCTATCCCCTCCTCTGGAGGGGAATTAAGATATTCATAAAGCGAGTAAGTGCACATTTTTCTTCTCCCATCATACACTCTTAATCTGGTTACCATATGCAGTATTGTGTGTGATTTGTGTACTGCTTTCTGTGTCTCTTCACTGCTAAATACCATTCTGAAAATACAGTGCTGTTCTCTTTGCGAATCTTTCAGGTTTTTGATGCAAGAGAAATTCTTAGATAGGTGGTAATGAAAAATGGTATGATGTGTGTTAAAAAATTGAATTCTGAACTCTGCTTTGAAATGTTAGTGGAAACTTGTATTTTGTGCTTTTTAGTTGCCAGAACAAAAGCATACTGGGAAAAAAAAAAAAAAAAGGAATTTATTTTAAAAATATAGAATTCTCTGCTGAGACTGCGAGATATAACAAAAAGTACTCATTTACTTCTGGGTTCCTGAAATTCTTTTTCTCCCACCTGTCAGAGATAAAGTATTATTCTAGTAAGACCAAAGCACAGGTCCCCTCTCACTAACATGAGAGCACAGTTTTAAGGAAAGAGAGAGAAAAGTGCAAGACTGCTTCTTTTAATAACACCATTCTCCTCACTGTGGGAGCCAGAGAGCTGCCTTCTCTTCCCAAAACCTGATTTTGCAGCTCAGTGTTGCGATGAGTTGAAAATTAGTGTCACTTTGATTTTTCTTTTCTTTTTTCAGATGACAAAACTCTTGTCTCCTTGTGAGTGCGAGGAGCTTTATCTAGTTTTGCATCATGAGATATATGCTGTCCAGTCTGCTATACTTAGCCTTGCAGAAGTTGATTGGGAAGAGTACTTTGATCAACAAGACCAGAGAGACACAAATCTCTGCATAATTGAAACTTTGGAGTAGACTGGATCACTGAAATAAGGCCTAACACTGCTGTGCTTTCCTTACGGCTTTTTGTCTGTCTCCAGGGAAGCAGTGCCTGACCTACATAAAATACTTTCATCTGTAACAGATTGTAGTGTGCAAGGTAGCATAATGTATGCTGCCTCATCTAACTTTATCCTGACTTGGATCTGTGTTCCTGGCTGTATCAAAACAAATTACTGAGCTGTAATGAACAGATTTTTCCAGCAGTGTATTACCAACTCTTCTCACAATTCTCAGCATATCCCAGATAATACTGGGATGAATATAAATGTACAGTGCAATATTAGAGCTTCTGGGAAGCACAATATTATTTCTACAGATGTTAAGCTTGAAAAGCAAGCTCCTTCCCTCAGCCACCTGCTTCTGGTGCACACCTGGGGCTGCATACCACTTCTTGGCAAAATGCACAAGAAGCTGGGATGTTGCATATCACGTTCTCTGATATGATGGAGTTGGTATCTAGTGAAATTTCCTTAATTTTTCACACAGCCTGTTCCCATTCTTTGCAGTATTTAGGCACTGGAAGTCAGTTCTTCCATTGGGAAATTTTATGCGTAAGCATGTAAGAGCAAACATCTGCAGGAACGGGAGAGGTTCCTTTCAACTACAGAAATATCAGCAACAGTTAGGATCATTTGAGCTACCTATTTACCTTAAAAATGCTAAGTAGAGCATAGTCCCATGTCCTTGTGTTACTAATTTTGTTCCAGAGGATGTAAAACTACCATGAGCCAAACTCATATGCAGACCAGCTGCAGCATCATGTGACGATGGGACTGGGTAAATCACTATCTTTCTGCCTATGCACAGAGTCAAAGCCTTATTCTCTGTTTGCTTTGTTAGCAGCTGCATCTTCAGTGATGTGAGATAAGGTGAATCTCCCAGCTGAGATGCCTCCCATACCTATTTAGGATTTCTTTCTATTACAAAGGAGAAACCGTTACTGTGTCTTCTAAAATCTTGAAATGGTTTGTTTTCAGCTGAACTGATGGGGTTTTCACTGTGCAGGGACAGGAATTAGACCCTGACAAAATGGAGACTTACCCCAGTATCCTTTCCCAGGAGGTGCTTTGTTCACCTCGTCATCTGCACAAATATCTATTTATTTGTGTTACATGAGTGCAAGAAAATCCCTGGCTATTGGAAACTATCTGAAACATCCATTGTTGTGAACCGTAACAAGCCACAGAAAACAGGTCTTTGATTGGAGGATTATTCTCTTGACTCTGATGAATTAGTTTCTCTGCTCAGCTCTATTCATCTCTAATTCGGTGTATTATTTTAACTTCTAAGTTTTTTACCCTTGTCTGTGGCTTTGTAATAACAATTGTAAAATATTAAACGTTATTAAATAAATATTAGTAGAGTCCTGTTGCCTTGAGCTAGAAGCTGACAGATGAGTTCAAAATATGAATGCATTTTGAATCTTAGAAGCAACGCTGTATTTTTTCCTCGAGCAAATGTTTTCTTGCAGAGCTGTTTATTTGCCCTATAAGAAAATAAAGCAGGCTGGTTGATCCAAGACTTGACAGCATCCTTTTCTGAGTAGCTCTGTCACTTTATCTGGAATTTTTGAAAGATTCATTTACTGTGCCCCAGAATCATATTCTTAAATTCACGTTAGGATGAGTAATGCTTCTTTTTGGTTTACATTGAATCATTCCAAATTGAATGGACTTAAGTGTGCTTTTAAGGGACCAGATTGCGTTTGGAGGGCAAACTGGAATCGCATCACTTATCTAAGAGACCAAATAGGAACTGTGTTGTAACTGCCTTACAGCGAAAAGAAAATGTGAGTGTAAGACTGGCATTTCTCACCGTTATTTGGGCTCTGCTTCTGGATTGTGCTTGCACAAGCAGTACCTGTAGTTACAGAAGACCCCTACAAATCCATTGCAATCAATAGTTGCAATCAATCCTGCATTAGATGGTTTAAGTCTAGTTTTCAGTAGGCTTCTTAAAGGCCTATTCCAATTCCTACTGAAGTCAACAGAAGATTTTCTATTGACAGCAAGGCTGTAGCAATCGTTTTGTCTTTTAAAGCAGCCTGCATGTTTGATAAAGCTTCCAAATATGTGTTACAATGAAGTTGTTTGTACCACTTTTAGGAATGCCTGAACAAATATTCAGTGATTTGCCTTAGGTCACAGACTAAGTCATCATCAGAGTCAAGGGAATGTTAAGCACAGGCTTTGACTTAATTATGTATGTCACAAAGACTGTGTGCTTGCAGATGAATTCATGTTCACAGGGATATAATGGCCCCGTTAAATGGGCAAGAGGAGATTTTGTTAGAAGGTAATGGCTCTTTAAGGGAGGAGGAATGGATCTTGCTTCCACTAAATGTTATATCAAAACTTTATATCAGCTGACCCAGGAGGAAAATTGCATTTCTAGTTCAAACTGAGTATGGCACGCTACTTTTTACATTATATTGCCGTAGTGAAATTAGTTATATTTGCAATAAACCAACATTATAATAAATATATCTGCTTCGTTTCTTGTTAGTCTGCTGGTTTGTGTATAGAACTGTCCTGGTTTGGGCTAAATCAGAACTAATTCTGGTTTAGTGCTTTAACTTTTCAGTTAAGTCCCCTCTAACTAACGGCACTTTCTGAAACAGCAGCATGTTTTTCCAGACAGTGACTGCTCCCAGCAGTGATAAGGCCTGGTGTTTATAGTTCGTACCAAGTAATGGTGTGCAGAGAGGCCCTTGCTTATACTTGTTCTTATGGTGACCAAGGTCACTGCTGAATCCTCTACTCCATGTTGGGGTGCCGGAAGTGAAAAGGGTCACACCTACAGGGAGGAGCGAACTGGACAGGTGACCCAAACCTGACCAACAGAGTATTCCATCCCATATATGTCATATTCAGTATAAAGCTGAGAGATCACGAGGGTCTCGCCCTCTTCGTCTCTTCTTCAATGGCCGACATCTGAGGAGGACTGATCCGTGCATCCCTGAATCCAGTGCCTGAGTCCAGCTCCTGCATCCCGTCCCTGTCTGCTGCCGAGTCCAGCCTGGGACTGCCCCAGTGCCAGCCCTGCAGTGTAGTGGTGACATGTTGTCATCAGGGTGGGAGGAGCTGGGTTCGGTATTGGCTTTGTATATATTTGTACATATTGTATATATTTCATTTTTTAATTATTATTATTTATCTTTTCTTTTATTGTTATTGTTCCATTAAAGCTGTTTTAGTTTTCTTTTCCAAACCGTAAAGTCTCTCTCCCTTGTTCTCTCTCCTTTTCACTTTTGGGAGGGGAGAGGGTTTAGTAGAGAGCGTCTGTCATTCGTTAGTGGCCGGCCCAGCCTCAAACCGTGACAAGAACTTACATGAAGCTGATGCTTTTTCTGTTGGTGGAAAACTAGGGGAATGCAATTTATGAGCAGAGATGCCAAAATTAGTTACTTGATCAGAAAATAGTCCGAGTGTTCTTTGAGGTATTGTCCATATGATAGGGTACCTCTGTTGCAGAGCAAGCTGATGTGAAGTCTGTCGTGCCTCTCCCTGAACTATTTTTCACAAATTCCAGAGGCGACTTCCTTTTTTGTTTGTTTGTTTGTTTTGGGATGGGTTTTTTTCGGGAGTTGAGTTTTTTTGAAGGTGGTTTTGGCTCTAACTATCTATTAGTTAGCTCTAACTAACTAATAACACTATCTGTTATTTCTTTTTCTT